CTCGATCTCCGGAGTTATCGTTCCAGTTTTCTTATAGCTCACTGGTTTAGACTAATTATAGGTTAACAAAAATACGCTTAAAACGCGTAAAATCCGGATGGCTAAAAACTTGAAATTCCGATAAATTTATAGTAAAAAATGGTTTATAGTTTCCTTTGCTCTATAGAGTTAGTGGTGCATAACCACAGTTCGGAGAGGCAATCGCCGAGACAGACTGTAGATTTTTGAGTAGCACTTGTGTTATAATAATTTTTGTCCATTTAAGATGACCCAAAAACGTTGCGTTAGTGCATTGTACGTATTTTCAGCACGTCATAGCAAGACATGTTCAGGCTGTTAAATATCTGTCAATTTAACATTTGATAGAATTTTCGAGATTTTTATGTGAAATCAATGGTTTAATTCACTTTGTAAAAATAGTCCTCATGTTGTTTACACTTTCATAAAAAAATGTCTTTTTTGCTTTAAAATTCCCCACCGGCGCTTAGCGCCTGGGAAATTACCCGCTCCTTTTACCCGCTCCTTTTCAAATTACCCGCTCCTTTACCCGCTCCTTTTTTAATTACCCGCTCCTTTTACCCGCGACCCGCTCCTTTGACCCGCGACCCGCTACCCGCTCCAAATAGATACTCCCCACACGAGAAAGTAAACTGTTTAATTTAAGGAAACTTGTCAACGAAAACCTGCTCGTTTGTCAGGGGGTTTAAATTCAATCAGAACCTATCGCTTAATCTCATAACATACAGAAGCAAAGAAACACGTGAAAATATGTAAAACTAAGGTACAAAGGATCAAATGTTCACACAAAATCGAGATGAAACAACGCATGAACGCAAATGAATTTGACACGTCCGAATTCCCGGCGAATAATTTATGGACCGGACAAATTTGTGCATCGTTCTGATATTGTCTGGTCTTCCATGGACGTGTAGAATTGTATTTGTAGAATAAATATTATTGATGTGCTTACCTTTCTTTTAGTGAATAAAATAAGAGATATTTGTAGCAACAGAAGTAAGGGGCGGACCATTTGATTTTTGAGGGGGGGGGGGAGGGGTGGAAGATTCAGTCTGTGCAAGCATTTTTTTTTCCGCCCAGGCGAATGAGACAGATATTTTTTTCCTGTAAAAGTGCAGCGCAAGATATTTTTTTCCCAATATATTTGGCCGCAGGATATTTTTTTTGCCTCTCATAATAACGGCTTACAGTAACTTTAGGCTTTCATATAGCTATCATCGGAGACGTAGCAGGGGTTTTCAGTCAGAGGAGGTCGAGAACTGAATCCCAAGAGGGGCCAAGGAATTTTCACTGTGCTTTATTTTATATGGTTATGTCTTAATGTTCCCCACACTAAAGCGTGCAAGTTTACTTGCAAAGAATGTATAACTGCACCAAAACCTAAAACATGCAGGGATAGAGTAAAGTACTCGAAAATGGGGGAGGGTACAGTATATGAATGACCTGTAACCTTGGGGGGTTCGGGGGCATGCTCCCCCGAGAAAATTTTAAAATTTGAACCTCGGAAATGCTATTTCCTGCGTTTTCAGCCATGGATAATTATCTTAAGCCCAGATTTTCACAGGGGGGGGCAACAATTTTGCCAGGAAACACCACTGGCTATCGTATGTCAGAGGCTCCAAAGGCGGTAGAATCCCTGTGATGTTATCCACTGTTCACCCTGTGTTCTTTTAAGCAAATGTGCCTGCTCAAAAATGCAAAATCTTGCAAGCCTGTGGACACAATACTGAAGTGAAGAGCATGAGTAGAGTTACATGTAGAAAATTTTTTTTGAGCGCTCTCTTTTGCATGATATTTTTTTTTCTCGATTGTGTGCTGCATGATTTTTTTTTTCTTTCTCCTTGGGTTGCAGGAAATTTTTTTTCGACCCCCCCCCCCCCCCCCTCAAAAATCAAATGGTCCGCCCCTAAGTAGGTATAGCTATAATATAAGTAAGCATTATACCACTAATACTTGATGTGTATAATCGGTCACTGAAGTGAGCTGAATAATGTATGTATGTATGTAATAATTTTCTGATGAACAAGTTTTCTTTGGTAGAGATGCAACTACCTGAAATATATAAGGAGAAATTCGACGTTTCGATCGAAGGCCCTTCGTCTGCAGTTACTAGTGGGGACGTAACTACAGACGAAGTGGGATAATATTCCAATAATTTTCTGACTTGCTTTTACTTTTCTTTGAAGTTTGATCGCACGTTTGCGCATTTTAAGCGAGAGTAAACAAGTGGGTGAAATAGCATTTCAATTCAGCTATAGCGAGGGCTAAAGCAACACGCATAAAACAGAAAGAACAAGATGCTTTATGGAGCGTTACGGTCGCGGCTGGGGCTATGGTGAGGCAACGTTATTTAGACTTTATATATTTTCTCTTTTATTTGTATGTATGGGCGAAAATTTTAAAATAAAATAAAAAACTAAATACTTATAACCTAGACCTCTAGCCCTATATTTCTGTAATCCTAGTCATCAGATCAAAAGTGAATGATTGACATAAATATCAAACATCAATCACTTGCAGTCACAAATAAAATTTCCCGCACTGCAGTACAGTTTACTACATATTTATGTCGCTATAATTAATAGTGGCACAGTAACATTTCACTCAAACCTTCTCAGTACCTGCGTAGGTGGTAGAGATTCAACTACCTAAATGAAAATACAAGTAAAACTTCGACGTCCCGAGCGAAGGCCCTTAAGTTTTCATACTTTTATTTTTTAGATAGTAGAATCCCTACAATGTATAGTTACAGCGTTCAGTTCTTCATCCAGTGTAGTAATGAGATCAGCTGGATTTTTTCCATTTTTAATTGGGCCTGGATATCCACTGACAAATCTCAGGCGAATCTTTATAGTCGCTGGCTGCGGTCAAGCAAACTTTTCAGCTTGCCCAGCCTGTGGACACACTCAGAGACAACATCGTGCACAAACATATGTCTTCATCTGGGTGCATAACACCAGAGGTAAAATATTGTTTCAATGTAGTGCATAGTCAGTCCAAAAGTCCAAAGACTATATAAAATGTGAAAAAGATTTCGGAGCGAATCTTGTCATTTTGTCTAACGGTTTCTTTATATTCATTTGCGATTCATAAACGCCATTTCTAATAACAGTATGTCTGGGAAGAATAAAGATTTAATGATCACCAGCTGCTCTGCGTCCACTTAAGACAAAACTTTGCAAATCTCATTAGTAAGGGACGCGCTGTATGAGTCAATACAACGCTCAACTGAAGAAGCTTGGAAGAACTAGCTGAAATAATCTTCTATACTGTATGCTCCTCAACTGCCCTATCGAATGTTACTAAGAACTTTTTTCTATTGATCAGTTTCCACTGAAGACTTATTTTGATTAATTCACGGTACGTATGACAAAGCCATGGACTGAAGAGGAGTTCCATTAATTTTTATGATGTATAGGATTGCCTCGTTCTGTAATAAATCTCTACTTATTTTTGTCTTGGCAAGGAAAGAATATTGTTGTTGTAAATAAACAAAGCTAAGTAATATTTCAAATCCAGTAGACTACGAGGACTGGACTATAGATATCATGCAAGTGGCTAGCGAAGACTTGAAAATCTAGTCCAGTCCAAATTGGAGGATTTAACTGAAATGACATCTCATATGAATAAATCACTACTTCAAGTCAGGTGAATTAATTTTGATCTAGTCCAAAAGGACTGAATTAATTTTGTTCCAGTCCTAGGACTGGATCAATGTTCTTTAGTACAGTGCCAATTTATATTTCGATTCAGTTATTCCGACCCAGGGTTATTTATTGAGCTAGACTATATTAAAGGCTGTTTTTAAATATATGGATTAAGTTGGCATTGGACAGTCTAAGTCTATATGAATCTTACTTATGAAATAACAGAAGAAATAAATGTGCAGTATTTGGAGGCCTTACATGTGCAATTTTGGTTCTTGGGTCTGTATTACGATTTCAGTTTTCAGTTTTAAAGTTTCAATTTTATTTTTAATTTGCTCAATAAATTTGTGTTATTTTAATGAATATTTTGAGTGCAACGTGGGTGCATTAAGGTCCAGTTACACGTGCGACTTTCTTCTCGCGCCGGCAACGCAACGCCTTTGCAACGGGTTAAATTTCATTGCGTTACTCGCGCGAGTGAAGTGGTGACACGAGCAACTATTTGCATGAAAAAACCGGGCACAAACGTCACTGACAACAACATGGCGCCGAAGAAAGAACTTGTGGTCATAGCTGCAAAGCTTTTGCTAGAAGAAGATGACGAGGAGGTTAAAGAAAAGAAACGTATTTGGAGCCGGTGTCCCAGTTGATTTGGACCCCCGTAGATTTGGACCCCCGGTCCATATCCACTAGTAGATTTGGACCCCCCGGTCCAAATCTACTAGTGGATATGGACCCCCGGGGGTCCAAATCTACTAGTATATATGGACCCCCGTTGGCGGATATGGACCCCCCTTCAAAAGTTAAATATATGTAATGTGAACACAATAATATAAACCAAATTTATAATAGCGATCAATCTGAAGTATTTTATCACTTTAAATATTTGTGATAAAGGCCACAAAACGTAGAAATGTATAGTCTTTGCCAACAACGAATCTGCTGATGTCGACCTTTACCGAGAATTATGAACAGATTTTTATCTATTCTGGTCATATAAACGCCATATTATGTATATAAATGAGTTTTTAGCGTGTTTATTTATCCTTTTATGGTTGTACACATACTTTCCATTTGGACCTTTATTTGTAGTTTAAGATTTTTGAATTTGGATCTCACTGGCAATAAAAAAACAACGTTTTCTATTCACAATAAATGACTATGTGTGGTTGATAAGTAGCTCTGAGTATCTGAAAACTAATGAATTTAACATATTCACTGTTATTGGAGTTGTTTTTAGTATATAAAAGTGTTTAAATAAGGGGATCCATATCCGCTAAAGGGGGTCCATATCTACTAGGAGATTTGGACCGGGGGGTCCATATCTACTAGGAGATTTGGACCGGGGGGTCCAAATCTACTGGGGGGTCCAAATCCGCTGTGACACCTGCACTGGCTTCTAGAGAGAAAAAACAAAGGTTATTTCGGTCAACTTCTTCCCGATCTGGCTGCCCACGACACAACAGGATTTGAAAAATTTATGCGAATGGATTTTGATCATTTCAAAAAGATAGTTGATAATCTATCTGAAACGCTTTACAAGAAAGACACAATAATGCGTGAATCAATCAAGCCATGAAGCAGAAATGTGTTGTTTAACGCTTCGATATTTGGCAGCGCTACAGCACGCTGTCCGTACAGAAGCGAATTTCATTGGCTATCTTAAAATAGCCCATGCGTTTCCTGCTCAAACAATGCCTGGGTAATTCGATATTTTCGGCAATCGTTGCCGAAAGTTCAAGCATTTCAACTTTCCGCAACGATTGCCGAGAATATCGGGTTGCAATTGCGTTACCGCGCCAGATACGTTACACGGGCAATTTCATCACTCGCGCGAGTAACGCAATGAAATTTAACCCGTTGCGTTGCCGGCGCGAGAAAAAAATCGCACGTGTAACTGGACCTTTATTTTGGTACATTATATTTTACTTACGTTTTTGCAATATTATACAAATTCCTCTTATACCTGTATTTTAACCAGAATTCTTTATCCTCTCTTTAAAGATCTGAATACAATATTGAGAAAACTAAAAATGAACGGCGACGCAATGGCATCAAAATCTACGCCCGAAACCAACCATAACCCCAACACCAAATCTTTACAACAAATCGCTTCAGAAAAAGAAAACACCTTGAATAAGTTACATCAACTCGACTCCCTCGCTGAGAACAGATTCAAACAAAAAGAACTATGCAAATACTTCAAAGACACTTTCAAGAATTGGGAAAGTGAGTTCGCAAAAATTCCAAGGCATGGCCAGGGCATCCCAAACGTTCGAAAGCTAAAGGAATTATGCACGAATATAAAAATAGCAATGGGGCCGAAGGGGGAGTTCGCGCGAAATCTCGAGGAAATTTCCAGCGAAAATGTGGCAGGGTTTCAGAAATGCAGCACAAGAATCGAGAAGTTTAAGTCACTGTTAGATGATAAAGCACCCTCTCCCGTCACGTTGGAAAATATTCGCGAGATCACGGGCGAGATTATTGGCAATCTTGAAGCACTCTTGGGGATTTTATACCATGAGAATTGAACAGCCTTTTACTGAATTATAGTTGTGTAGTTTTGGATGAATAAAATATATGCTAGAATAAATAACAATATACTCCACGGAAAACTATTGTTTCATCAAATTTGTAAGGTTTTGTACAGATGAGTACCGGTGCCTTAGTTTAAGGAATTTTCGCTGGGGGGGGGGAAACAGGGAAAAAGGCAGAACGAAAAATATGAGCCGTCGAGTTTGGCTAACGCGCGAGTCTGAAGAGAGATTTTGTAAAACAAAATGCAAATTCTTTCTCTGGGGGGAGTTAAACATATAGTTAAAAAAGGCACTGAATTGAGTATTACAAATCCGAAAATGTTTCCAGTTGAGGCGCCTCTCTTGTAAATTCGACACATTTATATAGTACACATGCATGCAAGTGAAAACGCACAACTTGTAACCAATGCTATTATCAGTGTTCAACTTCGCGACCTGTTATTAGCATGTTCTCCCAGTGAGCCTGTTCGCAGGCTAATTAGCATGTGTTTTGACTGCTTCATGTTTCTGGCTTGTTGACTCGTCTACAACTGCTGCAAGGTCGGACTTGTTACAAGTTGTTCCAACAACTTTGTTATCGTGTATATAGCAATTCAGCAACTTGTTAGCAAGTTGTGAATAACAACCTTGTAGCAACCTAGGCCCGTTTTATACGTCGAATTTCGGTCGGGTCGAATGCAATTCAAACAATATTATCTATTGTCTTAATTGCATTCGACGCGACCAAAATTGAAAATTCGACGTATAAAACGGGCCAAACAACAGCGTTAAAAATATATATACACATCTTGTCAAAAAGGCGAGTTTGCAACAAGCTTTTAAGCTTTTAATTAAGCTTGTTGCAAACACGCCTTTTTGACAAGATGTGAATATTTTACGTGTGTATCTTGTTCTGGTTTAAATACAGTACCCCCGCATGGGGATGGTTGTACGATTTTGTTAACCTATCAATAGCGATATAGACCTCACAATTGATAAAAAGATTTCCTCAAGACCAGGTACTCCAGTTTCCTCCTGTAGTAACATTGGATACTGGATAAATAAAGGAGAGTCCCTCGCCCTTCCGGTGAGAGCACTTTAGGTAACACAGACATCACGTATGATTGATGTACGACAACATAGTTTAGTTTAGGTGTCTTTTTGTAGATGCAGAAAATGAATAAGGCATGGTCCTCACTGGAACACTGTGGAGAACAAATTACACACAACTGATCGAGATATCCAATAGAAATAAAGTTTTACTCTTAATTTGGTCCGATTCACTTCAGACACCACCAAAACAAATTTGTCACTTTCACAGACCATAAAAGCTGGTTTAAACTATCAAAGTTTCTGTGATCACAGTAGAAATTCTGCGTAGGTAAATTCTAAGTTTTGAAGGATTTGTAAAAGATGTTTGAGAGAACTGACTCAGTGTTAAATAATGATTCATTTCCCTCAAAGATTTCTTACAAATTATTCAAAACTTAGAATTTACCTATGCAAAATTCCTTCTGTGATCACAGAAACTTTGATAGTGTAAACCAGTCATAATTAATAAAACCTATGAGATCACTAAAGTGGACCAATACAAGGCCCCAGTTACACGATACCGGCTTCGTATCGGAGCGACATCAATTTAAGATGTTTTCCAGTCTTGTCTGCTATTACAACTTTTCATATATGAAGTTTTTGTTTAATTATGTTATATTATCATAATTTTAAGTGCCAAATTCACCTCGAAGCAGTAAAATTTGATGTCGCTCCGATGCGAATCCGGTATCGTGTAACTGCATGGGGCCTAAAACAGACCCTCCCCCCTTTCCATTAGAGAACAACTAGGCGGTACCCATACCACAATGCCACACCCTTTCCGCTTTGATCACCTACATCCGCCATCTTGCAAAAAACCACAAAAGTCAACATTATGAGATCGACAATTGATCACGTTACTCTGTGCTTTTAGCTTCTAACTTCTCAAGATCTAACCATGGCGAAAAGCGAATTTGATTTATTTTTTAAATTTCTACTCATCGGTGACAGCGGCGTCGGAAAGACGTGTATTTTATTTCGATTTGCTGACAACGCTTTCAATCCTTCCTTCATACACACGATCGGAATTGATTTCAAGATAAAAACACTAGATATTGGTAAGTAAAATCGTACGGATTTTCATGTAGATTTACTAGTTTCTAACCTTATGTGTCTGGCCTTAAATAGAATGCTTTCAAGTTTCAAGCAAGATTTATGCGAGTATAAGCGATAGGGGGGAGTGTGTTTATTGTTAAATTCTATAAATATTATCGAATATTTTGATCAGATATGTGAATATTTGTGGCTTTAAATGAGGGCTCTATTTAATATCGTTAGTTTCTCATATTCTTGTTTGTCTTAGGTTCTTATAAGGCAAGATACTCATATAAAAGTGAAAGCATTTTTTTTCGAAATGTCAGATACAAGCAGCATTTGCATCATTAAACAATGGTTTTGACGGTTGTCACTGAACTTCCTTAATTGCGTTTCCTCATTCAAAAACAATAAAATTTCGTGTAAAATTTTGATTTGATATCAAAGATCGTCTTTGCTGGAATTTTATACAGTATTGAGTGCGTTTCCTTATGGCATTTTTGATCAAATTTTACATGATCACAATCTTCCATCTTGATGGCCTGATCATTTACAATAAAATTGTCCAGTCATGCATATAGAAGAATTATAATTGGTGTATTTATATATGATACAGTAAGGACAGTAAGCGGGAAATGACAGGAATCATTGAAGTGTTTCATATTAAAATATACGAAAATATTAATGGAGGTATTCTACGTATTGTACACTGTACCGTACCCTAGCTGTACCTGTACCTGTACCCAGTTATGTATACACGATACCAGATTTGCATCGGAGTGATATCAAATTTTACAGTTTCAAGAGGAATTTAGCACTCAAAATTATGATAATATAGCAGAATTAGTCAAAAACTTCAAATATGAAAAGTTGTAAGAGGCCAAAAAGCATCTTAGTTGATGTTGCTCAACTCGTTCTGATGTGAATCCGGTATTGTGTAACTGGGGCCTTAGGTGTCCGGATAATTAAGCCTAGTAGACTGGGTTATAAAAGTGGGCATAGATTGGAATCACAAGCATGCAATCACATGTGCATGCATCAGCTTATCATAGGTGTACAGGGGCTGACAAACATTTGCCCAAACTTGTTTGAAATAGACAAGTTTGGCTAAGTTTGTTTATACCCAATTCATGACATTAGATAACTCACAGGAAAGGTTTGAACTGCTTGTTTATACCCAATTCACAGCTTTAGATAACTCACACACCTAGTTTGCTATTGTTCTAGTTTACAGAAGCATAGAATAGAACAAAGGTAACTATGTCTAAGCTTTAGAATTATCTACATGAGTGAATTACTCTTATACATAACTCTAATGCCCAGTAGGTACTTTTGTTCTATTCTATTCTGCTGTAAACTAAAACAATAGTAACTAGGCAGCAACAATGTTTCATACCACACCCACAAACAGTTTATGAGCAAAACAAAAAGCTTTGATTGACAAACTTTTGGGAAGGAACATTTTGAAACCTAGTTTCAAATGGTGTGCTTCACAGTAAGATGTCCTTTCGATAATTTCCTACCTCATTCCTACTAACCTCCTGACAGATGGTTTTGGCTTGAAACCAGGTGATCTTGTGTTCGTATTTTAGCCAATCAGCGCTCAGAAAGGGTTGTCCGAATAGAAATCCATTTTGATGTATTCAGTCAATTATACCTTTCATTATTCTTTATGAAACTAGTTGAAATTTTGTAATTATGTTTGGTTATGAGAACTATAGCTCTGACAAAAATATGTAGTCGAAATAAAGTATATTACAGGAGATATTCAGTTGTTTTAATCATAAAATGGATTTCTATTTGATAACTAGTGCCAGTACTTTTCCGTGTATCAAGATCACCTGGAATGTTGAAGTGTTTAGTAGACAGAAGCCATGGCAGCTTGTGAAGGGCCCCACATCTGAGGTTGTCTAAGGTAGTCAGGTTTATTTTTAAATTTAGGTGGGAAAAGAGTCAAGCTACAAATATGGGACACAGCTGGACAAGAAAGGTAAATTTCACAAAGTCCAGTACTCTGCGGATTCAGAATTTCAGTGCATCATTCAAAATGAAAACAGATCACATAGATAAAACTAACAAGCCCAAGGAGCAGGCTTTTAGCCAGAATGGCATCCTGGGACGCCCCTAGAACGAAAAATGGACGCCCAAATTCTGGGGAAAAAGGAAATTATTTTCAATTACTTCCCTAAGTATTTGAAAAAATAGAGGATGTGTAGCCAGGTTGAAACATTATTTATTGAACGTTCTCTGACTTAATATTAATATATCTGAAACGAAAAAAACTTCAATTCTCATTATTATTATACATTTGACATTTTGATCACTTTGATGGTGTACCTGGCTGAATGAAAATGTCGTCGTTAAGTAAAGAAGCATAGCGGCACGAACTCACAAAGCCAAGTGTGTTTGAAAGATTTCGAACTAGCTTGGAACAGATACTGACATGAAGTAACGTAAACTTCAAAGGTTTTCTCGAATCCTCCCCCCTCTCTTTCCTGTAGATGTTTCGTTATACCAAAATTGGATGCCTTCTTTTAGGACCCTGACTAAAAGCCTGCCAAGGAGTGTTATTAGATGCACCCCTGTCCTTTCTTTCTCGGAATGGGCTGGTACTCTATGCTTTCATCCATTGATAAGGTTAGAGAAAAAAAATTTATTTACCATACACACTGTTTTTATTTTATAACTAGATTTCACACAATCACAACAGCATACTACCGAGGGGCTATGGCGATCATTCTTGTCTATGACATAACAAGCGAAACCTCATTTAGAAACATAACAAAGTGGATGAGACGAATCGAGGAAAACGCGACCGAAGATGTGGAACGACTCATTATTGGCAACAAATGCGATCTGGAAAGCAAACGGGAAGTTAGCCGCGAGAGTGCGGAATTATTTGCTCGCCGGCATAATGTAAAAGTTATAGAATGTAGCGCGATGGAAAGTATAAATATAGATAAAGCATTTGAGACTCTTACCCAGGATATTTTGAATAAGGTGTGTCCGCCACAAGAGAAGGAAGAGCCGACGCCTAAAGGGAAAAGAAAAAAGAATAAAAATGTGAAATTAAACAAACAGAATAACAATAAAAGTGGTGGGGGCTGCTGTTGATTGTGGATGATAGACCAGGACAGTGGTGGACATTTACAACAGGATGTTAGGTGTGCGAATGTTGTGGACATATTCTGAGATTTGTACCCTTTTGATGCTCAAAACTTTTTGGCCTCACATTTAATCCTAATTTCCTTAGGAGGAGAATTGAATATCTTTTAGAGACTTTAAGAAAATAAGGGTGCTCTAATCTCCCCTCCCTAGTGTCCACCACAGATAAAGAAATATATTAACCGTGTTTTGGTTTACAAAATGATAGAGAATGCTCGATATAATAGATGAGCAAATAGTATAGTTTTCCTTACCTCAAGGTTTTTAATTCAATCTGTTTTCATCCAATGAAATTGTCTGGTTACTCACCTGAAAGTTCCTACAATGGTTGAAGCAGAGTCTATTGAAAACCTTGGTATAGGCTAGAAATAAATTAAGCAGAGTCTGAATTATTTTTAGTATCCAGCTGGGATACCATGATTTGAAGTTTACATATCCACCCTGAGAATCTGGTATCCCATTTCTGGATACTGATTACCAGAAGCATTTTCCTCTGAGCCATCCAAATAAGTATCAGTTACTCTCATAAGTCTCGTTGTTATAAATTACAATAAAATCCGGAGACTCAAACAGTCAACAAGCAGATGATAAAGAGAGGTTCAGATCTGACTTCCTGTACCACTACTGCTACCTCTCACTGGCTTAATACACATTTGATTGGTTAATTGGGTGGCTTAAATGCATCTGATTGGTTAATTGGGTAGCTTAAATGCATCTGATTGGTTAATTAACTTAATTGTAGTGGTAGTCAAAATCTGAGCCTCTCTAGTTGGCATCGTGAATAGACCTTTCCCCTTTTGAGTGAAGTTCTGATCTAGACAAGTCTGGACAGAAATTTCACCACAGCTTGAACGAGCATCACAAAATTAGTAATATTCCGAAGTTTCGTTGCGAAATGTTGTAAAATGCGGATAATATAGCCCTGCGAAGTTTGCCGTTTTTCAGTCATTTTGTATTACAAAAGGGGAAATTGATAATCAGTTTGGTCATCTGATTATCAATTTCCGTTTGTAATGCAAAATGACTGAAAAACGGCAAACTTCGCAAGGCTATATTATAGGCTACACTCATAAGGAGAAATTTCCCGTTTGTAATGCAAAATGACTGAAAAACGGCAAACTTCGCAAGGCTGTATTATAGGCTACACTCATAAGGGGAAAGGTCTATTAACCCAGTGAGCGCCTTGCTCTCTTCTTGATGAGTAAATTCATCTGGCGTTAGACGGAGTAAAATATTCCATTAGGGTGCAATGTTGCAGCTTAATGGGTTAGTAATACACAAAAATGCACATAAACCTTTAACAAACTTTTATTTGCTAATCTTGATTATGGAAAGGCTGGTTATTTTCAAGGTGGCTTCTAATAATCAAACGCTATCCGGACATTTGATGTTAAATTTTGTTAAATTTTGTCATATTCAGTAGGGATACAAGTCATTCACAGTTTGTGTCCCAAAATCAAATTTTGGTATCCTGCGGATATATTTCAGACTCTGTTATGTACAGTATGTAACCCTTAGTTATGCTGTCCGTACATTGATAGATCAAAAGGCATTGTTGTTTACCTACAATATAGAATATTATAATTTACTGTTGTATCATTAATTGCTGTATACTGTATAGTCGGTATTCCCAATAGAATGGCACACACAGTGATTTTCACTGTCTATACCGTGGACTATCGCCGGCTGTTTCTCAAAAATATAAACCAAAATGTTTCATTTTACTGCAGAAATGTCAAGGGAAAGGTTTCTTGGTGTAACATAAATTCTACATATATTGTTCGTTAAATGTTTGGATAATATGAAAAATCTCCAGAACTAGCCATCAAAATGGCTGGAAATGTCATTGGGTTTGAATTTCAAAATCTCCACGGTGAGACCTAGCCCCGATTTACCCCCAGTGGGCTATCTTCGACACCACATACCCCTTTTTTTCAAAAGGTATCCTCCTAAATTCTGTTGGGAACACCATGTAGTAGTGCATGTAGTAATTTGTTCAAATGATTATTTTTAATAAAAAAATGTTGTAAATAGTAGCCTGTGCAGTAAAACAAAGTATTTTATTTTATTTTGGTCTGATTGATACTGTATTAGCAGTATAGGCTTATATTATACACTAGAGGGGTAAATGTCTTAGAACCATGTAGAAAAGTCTGTCTAATAGAGAGCTGTCTGGTTGTTAGTGATGTCTAATTAGAGGATGTCTAATTAAGCAAAAAACCTAATTAGAGAGATATGTTTCTAATTACCCACTAATTAGTGAGATGCCTGTCTAATGAGGGAGTTCCAAATAATTTGATAGATGCATGTCTAAGATGGGATGGCTGTCTGATGAGAGTGCTCCATATTAAGAGAGAGGCATGGCTACTAAAGGAGTAGGCTGCCCCCCTTGCCTTTTGCTAGGGGAGGGGGCAGGGGGGGGGGCAGAAGTGCCCTTTTAGTTGTAAAATACTACGTGATAAATCACATTTCCAACGATGCTTTTTGCAGGAAAATCATGAGATTCAGGTAATTTATAGTTTATATTTATAAAAATTTTGGAAAATTTTTGGAATTTAGAAAAATATTTTGAAGAAATGGCGAAAATTTAAGATATGCGGAAAAATTTTTGTCTTCACGGAAAATTTTGGTATGTCCAGAAAAAATTTTTGACCCCTAAAATGGTACAGACCGAATTTTTTTTGGCGACGGGGGGGGTGCCCTTGGTGTGCGTCCGCCCCCCTTTGCCTTATTATCGTTCCGGCGTCCCTGTCAATAGACTTGTTACAAGTTGATCCAACAACTTGTTATCGTCCTGCAATTCAACAACTTGTCAACAAGTTGTTGTGAGTGACAAGCTTGTAGCAACTTGATAAAATAACAGCATTGTCACAACCTGTTGACAAGCTTGCTACAAGCCTGTTGCGAACACATCTTGTTGACAAGTTGCTCTGGACAAGTTGTGAGATTTTTACGTGTATAATTATATAACGTTGTATAACGTGAGTTTCTGATCGCAAGTTACATACCTGCCGAGTTGCGTAATACAGTACTTGTGTCTCGTGACCACATCGTGAGTCTTCGTGACCATTTAATGATTGTGGGCGTGCCTTCAATGGCGGACTATTTAAGCATTTAAACACTTCAATATTTCTTCATTTTTCCGGACGTTAGCGCAAGTGGAAAGGTAAGGAAGTTTCTAAGAGATTGATTAATATATTGAGCTAACTTTTGCATCTCGATCACACAGCTAGCTTTTTGCGTTTGTTCAAATTGTTTTGATTTGTGCGAGGTTGTATATAAACGTTTATATATTTTACATTTAGGCCATTTAGGAAGCGCTTGGTGACCATTCGAAGCGATGGCAGTTGATCTGTCAAAAATAGCGAACAATATGGTTCGATCTGTCGCCAGTGGCGAGGTAACTTTATGATCATTGATCTAAATCGTTCTACATTTTGCCAAATAGTTAAAATAGTTTTTAGAAATATCCAATTGTACTTGAGTCTTGACTGACAATGTTTAACCAAACTTCCGGATCACGCATGGTTTAATATATGATGATGCTTTACAGCTGCGCCAGTGCTAATGATTGGTTTATGTCTTACTTATATGATTTTATAGTGCCAAAGTAGATTTAATACCATCATCACAGCATCACCCAGATTCATAAACCATTAAAAGTACCATTACATTTGATTTACATTATTTACCACTATTCATTACATGTGATCTACTATCATTAGATTGCATTATTATTCAGCTCCTTTTCATTGACCGATTACACCGCGTATTATGCTTACTTATGTTACTTACTTAGCCTAGACTATTTATCTTTACAACAATTGTGATATTACTTTCTTAACTGTGTTTATCCTAACCCACCCTGTCAACTTTCCCTGTGGGAGGAAACTGGAGAAAACCCATGACTTTTGGCCGAGTGTTGATGGACTCTTTTCACATGAGCCCTTAAAGTAGTGAGAATCGAACCTACAATCTCAAAGGTGAAAGGTGCTTGCTCTGATAACTGTGGCATATATCATTGCCTACTATTACTCAGTGCCATTACCAAGTATCGCCTATCACCATTGACCATTGTTTTACTTTATCAAAATTCACTATTTTGTAAATATCTAAGTATGGGTATTATCTGTAACTATTTGTTGCATCCACCATCATGTGATTACCTACATATTGTTCAACACCATGCATCTACCATCACTGAGCATTGCCCACCACCAACAACAAAGATGGGTTTGCATGAGGTTGCAGCTTCTATCACTTTGCATCATCTCTGAAGTTATGAATTATAATAGTATGGTACACCATAATCTATTATTATTTACCACCATCTACTAGTACTATCCTGTAATACAAGATCTGCCATCATTTAGCATTGTCTATAAAATCACATTCACAATTATCAACCACATTTAAGTACTGCTGCCCTTTTTTTCATTTACCGGTACCATCATCTACCATCATATACTTTGCTCATTTACCATTACCACACATTATCTACCATTGATGACTATAAGTTAGCATAATCTACCTCACTAATTACTGGCCTGTTATCAACAACCATCATTATCCATCATGAACCACTGTCTACCATCCACTAATGATCTAATTGTCTTCTATGATTGTTCAACATCATATACCATAATTCATCATCATCTACCATCACCCAACATCATCTACCATCATCCAATGTCATCTACCTTCACCCAACATAATCTACCTTCACCCAACATCATCTACCATCCCTCAGCATAATCTACCATCAATTTTCACCATTGTGTACCACCATTCAGTATCATACATCATCACCTACCATCATCTATTATCATTCAGCACCATCTAATATAATCACCATCATTCTTTATCATTTTGCATCCTGACGATCGACCATCACCAGCCACCATCATCTGCCATCAGCTACTATTATACAGTCATCCACCATCATCTAGTGTTCACCATCATCATGATACCATCTAGCCACCATGTACCATCATTGAGCATCATGTAGCATCATTCAATATCATCTAGCATTGTCTATCATTGCCTACCATATGATTAAGATGATTTAGCAATAACTTCCAAAATTCATCCTCTATATAGCTCTACCATAATTTACACATGTGCAAAAATCTCACATTTTGTAACAAGTCTGCCAACAAGCCGTCAACAAGATGTATTCGCACTGCTTGTTACAAGTTGTGAACAGGTTTGGAACAACTTGTTGACAACTTGTAACAACCTTGTTGAAATTATCAGACTTGTACATGTTGCAAGGTTGTTCTGACAAGTCTGTTACATGCTTGATATCACAAGATTGTCACAACCTTGTGTTGACAACTTTGTAACATTCTTGTTATATCATGGCTGTAACAAACTTGTTGGCACAGTCTTGTAACAAGGCTGATAATGCCATCAAGCTTGTTACAAGTTGTTAACAGCTTGTTCCAAACTTGTTACAACAAACTGGAAACAAGCAGTGCGAACACAACTTGTTGACAGCTTGTGAATAGACTTGTAACAACTTGTTTGCAGACTTGTTGCAAACTGTGCGTTTTTACACAACGTGTATCTTTACCAACATCATTCACCCTCTATGAATGTATGCCCAGAGGAACATTCTCTGCCAGACAATCCGGCACTTCTAGGATAACCTACAGCATATTCATTTTCGACGTGTTTTTTCTGCAGATGGTGGCAATGAGTAGTATTTGGGAGAAAACTACGACAGTAATCGTATTCCTACGCAGATTCGGATGACAGTTATGTCGACTGTGGTCGACCGAGCTGAGCGAGATCAAACCACAGTTAGATGCAAACAATGTCACTCTAGCTGGAATTGGTTTGGAAGACCTTGGCTTGGACGAGTTTGTGAAGGGAGAGTATTTCAAAGGAGGTTGGTTTAGATATAGGAAATCTTTCATCCAAGCCCAAGGAAAATTGACTTCTAGTTCCATACAAGTTGCCAATATATAAGCTTATAGGAATATAGCTTTATAAATAGTTGGTTCTATTGTAATAATTTCCTTTAGATTTGTACATTGATGCAGAGAAAAAGAATTACAAAGCATTGGAGTTCAGACGGTAGGATTTGTAGTCTCAATATGGTCGTGTTCTGGTTGAATCCAGGCCAATCGGCCGTCCAACTATCTTATAGACGTTGTAAATGCCCGTTTACACTTGCAATAGACAATTCCCATTATAGACTAATTTTTTATCTTGGCAAAAAAGGTATATTCCCGGAAAGGGCATATACTAAAAGTAGTAAAATTGCAAAGTTTGGTTGCGAAATGTTGTAAAATGCGGAAAATATAGCCTTGCAAAGTTCGCAAATTTTGTATACTTTTATATTGCGTGTGGAAATTGCTACTACCACATTTCGGCCGAAAATGGTCGTCTCGGCGAATATTCCCCGATAATCACCTCGCCTTCGGCGAATAATTGTTAAATATTGTAAAGGACTAACGGTTTATATTTCTATCTGTTTAATTGGGCGATTTTATTCATTCTAAAGGTATAATGTCCTTACCATTATTCCAAGTTTGGCGGCAAAAGAAACGAGAAATTCTGTATCAAGGGTATGCTTAATTGAGAAGTTCGTTGATTCTATTCATAATTTAGGTTGTTGAACATTATATGTCCAAGATTCTTCCTAAGTTGACGCATACACGTAAAAACGCACAAGTTGTCACAGGTCTGCAAACAAGTTGTTACAAATCTGTTTCCAAGCTGTCGACAAGTTGTGTTCGCACTGCTTGTTCGAATTCCTAGTTATTCTAATAAGTTTGGGACAAACTGTCAACAACTTATAACAAGGTTGATGGCATTACCAGACGTGTTACATGGTTGTTCTAACAAGTGTGATACAGTCATGAAAGAACAGGAATGTTACAAAGTTGACAACACAGGGTTGTAACAATATTGTTATAGCATTACTGTATTGGACTTGTTGGAACAACCTCGCAACAATTCTGATAATATCGACATGATTGGTACAAGCTGTTAACAGCTTGTTCCAAACTTGTTGACAAGCAGTGCGAACACAACTTGTTGACGGCAGACTTGCTACAAGATGTGACTGAGGTTTTTGCGTGTATAGTGAAGGTGTAATTTGTCTTGTTAACAGTTTGCGAATGCTATAGCATATAGCAGCTGGGTGAATCACCACCCAATACTGTACAGGGGTTGGAATTTAAATTTGTTTTTACTATACTACCGGAATAGTAGATTTTAAAATTTATGATATTAATACGTCTGGAGGTCCATTATTTCAAGAGGGTCTGTTCACAAGCTAGTGTTACTATAAAAGCTGTATATTTTTTATACAGTCCAACCTTAAGAAGATCACAGGCAATTACAAAGGAGATGGTATGCAGACTGGCGGTCTAATTATCGTCACAGCTGGTGGAGAGAAAGTCTTGTTCAGCTTTAAACAGAAATCACCTGGTGATCATGTGGAAAATGACGTCATTTTAAACGCTCTTGGCATTACGTCACCAGCTGCGGAACCTGCTGCCGAAGGCGGAGCAGAGGGGGAAACGAAGGAAGAAGGTGAAACGAAAGAAGAGGGGGAAACGAAGGGAGAAGGTGAAACGAAGGGAGAAGGTGAAATGGCTGGAGATGAGGGGAAGGTGGCACCCGAAGGAGAGAAGCCTGATGGCGAGGGGGAGAAGACTGAACCTGAGGGGGAGATAGCAGCACCAGAGGAAGAGGGATGTGGACCTCCAGGCGGTGGTGGTTGCTGAGGATAGCTGAGATCAACTGGTAAAGATTTTATGTTCTATTTAATAAATAGGAAAGCTTTTGTTGCCGGCTTATGAAATACCGAAACCTTTGAGGTCAATAATGTCGCCAAATTTTCATCTGATTTTCTACTATGGGCTCACCTTCGGCTCCCTTGTAAATCAGAAAACGATTGGCTGGTTATGCTTTATACAAGGTGTATAGAAAAAGGTAATGCAACTTCGACATGTTATCGTTTATTAAGTTTAACTATTTATTTTTGCACCGTTGGGAATTGCATGTAAAGATACAGATACAGATACAGATATTTCACAGCACACTCCCTATATCAGGGCTTTTCAGTGACTGGTTACATTATGAATAGATAGATAGAACCGGACTGACATGAAGCAGACCGAGGTAGACTTTGAGCTTACAAATGGCGCTTGAGTAGCTGCCGCTTTTAGTCCATACCTCATTAATGATCTGCCTCCAGACCTATCCTATGTGCCTAACCCACCCTGTCAACTTTCCCTGTGGGAGGAAACACGGAGTGCCCGGAGAAAACCCACGACTTTCGGCAGAGCGTTGACTTTTTACTCTTTTCACATGAGGACTGGGTTCGAGTCACATTGAGAAGTTCTCACTGAGATTCGAACCTGCGACCTTAGAGGTGAAAGGCAAGTGCGCTAACCACTTGGCCACCGAAGCCCCGTAAAGCTATTGTGACTGAGTATTCAGTATTGAAATTTTTCTCGTTTGGGATTTAAATTTAAGTCGCTTGGATCAAGATGGCGCAACGCATGTGCAAGCATCAAGTTTTGGTAAATGTCTTGCAATTTTGCATCGAAATTCATTGAGTGATTAAAAACGTTTTATAGAACTGGAAGTTTGACTGGACTCGCAATACCATACGTTTCCAAAATGGGCAACAAGCATTTGGGCGAATGCTCGAAAATTGGGAGAAATTTCAGTAAATCCTAAAAGTCAATTCGAATGGAAAAATGCAATTTCAACTGACCACCCTAAATCAAGAAGAGTTTATTTCGCTGGCCTCAGAGTGACTTAACGTAACAAAGCAACGGTTTTACTAACACTGGCCCTATTCTAAAATCCGAACACCAACTCTAAGCCTAATTCTTACTCTAACCCTAACCTAACCCTACTTCAAGTTTGTTTCTAAACCAATCTTGAAGAACATTTTGTTGACGAAATGTCATTCTGGGGTCAGCGAAATAATTTTTTCCTCTAAACCAGATCGTATTTGGTCAATTCTTTTATCGCAATGATTCCATAAAGGTGTTCAGGGTCCCCACGGTCCTTGAAAATCCTGGAAAGTCCTTGAATTTATTAAAACAAAATCCAGAGATCGGAAGGTCTTTGGAAACTGATAAGGTCCTTGAAAGTCCTGGAATTTTTTTTTCAGTAGGCTGGAAATAATTGAAGAATTATTACCAGCCCAAGGATTATTGCCCAAATGTTTATTTTCTCCAATTTCATTTTCTCCGATGTCATTTCTTTTCTAATTGCATTCCTCTCCTTAAGTTTAAGGATAAAAGTTAGATGGTTTTCAAAGATTTTTCCAGTTGCCAGGTCCTTGAACATACTGAAAAAGGTCCTTGAAAGTCCTGGAAAAGTCCTTGAATTTCATCTTCACTAAAAGGTGGGGACCCTGCATGGGTGTTATTTGACAGAAAGGTCTGATCTTTAAAAATACGAAAACAGAAAACCTATAAACGTAATAATTAACACACGATAACCTAGTCATTACACGCCTGTACATTACTTGGAACAATAATAACCAGTTTTCCCAAGTTTAGAATTAGGTAGCAATGATATATGTATATAAATGTCTATTTAATAAACTCTGTTTTATTTTTCAGGCATTTGATGTGGATTTCATAAGCTGGTTGATCTCTTGGAATTTAATAAACTCGTCTGTTTTGTATGTGTTTTCGACTTCTGCTTGATATAATCTAATGACGTAATTGTGTTCAAAGCTTGCAGACATAATTGCCGATGTATTTTGTAATTATATTACCAGTGAAAAGTCGCGATTTAGTATATTTTAATTGTTTTGTCCGTATACGTAAGTTCAAGGTAGAGATGATATAATCATATAAAAGAAGATTTACTGGACTTTCATTGACATATTTTATGATGCGATTGAGTTGAAAGTTTAATTTATAAACGAATTCGATTGTTGATGAATTTTGTAATACTGTCAGATGAAAGGCTTTAGTGGTAAATAAATTATTGAAAAAGTCTTTTGTTTCTTTGTGGATAAAATTAGGCCAAATAAAAAGACGTCACCGCCCGCCTGTCGATTTCTGCCGCCTCTGAATTTTTTTTATTTGTTTTTATGTAAAGCTCTTCGTTTTACAGTTTAAAACAGTTTAATATTTGAAATTTTTCTCACAGTACTCAGACCTTCGCACCATATACTGATCTATAGGAGCGTGTGGGCTTGGGTACAAGGTTCTTATATTAAATTATTGTTTATTTAAAAAACTCCTGGTTTCTGATTGGCTAACAGCCGACTGTGAAATTGTCATATCAACTCAATGGCTAACCAAATATGGATTTTTCACATTCATATTAGCAAAATGACGTCAAAGAGTCAATATGAAAAAAAATTGGACGCGTTTGCGCCATATTACTATGACGACGAGAATC